TATGTCCTTCTATTCATGAGACCGAGCTGAAGCCAGACTATCTATGTCCTTCTACTCATCACGAGTGACGAGAGCACATAAGCCAGACTCTCTACATCTTCCTACTCACTTCCAGACGACAGCTTAAGACAGACTATCTATGTCATTCTACTCACTAGATGAGAGTGTAAGCCAGACTCTCTATGTCCTTCTACTCACGAGATGAGAGCTTAAGCCAGACTCTCTATGTCCTTCTACTCACGAGACAAGAGCGTAAGCCAGACTCTCTATGTCCTCCTACTCACAAGACGAGAGTATAAGACAGACTAACTATGTCCTTCTATTCGCGAGACCGGAGCGAAAGCCAGACTATCTATGTCCTTCTACTCACGAGACGAGAGCATAAGCCAGACTCTATATCTTCCTACTCACGAGACGACAGCGTAAGACAGACTATCTATGTCCTTCTACTCACGAGAGTAGGGCATATGCCAGACTGTCTATGCCCTTTCTACTCACTCTAGACAAGAGCTGCAAGCCAGACTCTCTATATCTTCCTACTCACGAGACGACAGCGTAAGACAGACTATCTATGTCCTTCTACTCACGAGACGAGAGCGTAAGCCAGACTCTCTATATCTTCCTACTCACGAGAAGACAGTGTAAGACAGTCTCTCTATGTCCTTCTACTCAAGAGACAAGAGCGTAAGCCAGACTCTCTATATCTTCCTACTCACGAGACGACAGCGTAAGACAGACTATCTATGTCCTTCTACTCACGAGACGAGAGCGTAAGCCAGACTCTCTATGTCCTTCTACTCACGAGACAAGAGCATAAGCCAGACTCTCTATGTCCTTCTACTCACGAGACAAGAGCATAAGCCAGACTCTCTATATCTTCCTACTCACGAGACGACAGCGTAAGACAGACTATCTATGTCATTCTACTCACGAGATGAGAGCATAAGACAGACTATCTATACCCTCCTACTCACGAGACGAGAGCGTAAGACAGACTATCTATGTCATTCTACTCACGAGATGAAAGCGTAAGCCAGACTCTCTATGTCCTTCTACTCACGAGACGAGAGCGTAAGCCAGACTCTCTATGTCCTTCTACTCACGAAACGAGAGCATAAGCCAGACTGTCTATGTCCTTCTACTCACGAGACGAGAGCGTAAGCCAGACTATCTATGTCCTACTCACGAGACGAGAGCGTAAGCCAGACTCTCTATGTTCTCCCTGTCCAGGTTTGTTGTAGGTTCATCCAGGGCCAGAATTCCACAGTTGACACAAAACGTTTCCGCCAAAGCCAGACGGATGATCAGGGATGCCAACACCTGGATACAGAAGCTTGATGTTCAATACGTTACATGCACGAAAAATATCTATACTACACAGGAAACAACGTACTATAGTGGCAAAAACCCCAAATACCAGAAAATATATACAGCCATTGTGGCTTTCTGAACAAGTCAGACATTGTGGCTTTCTGAACAAGTCAGACATTGTGGCTTTATAACAAGTCAGACATTGTGGCTTTATGACAAGTCAGACATTGTGGCTTTATGACAAGTCAGACATTGTGGCTTTCTGAACAAGTCAGACATTGTGGCTTTCTGAACAAGTCAGACATTGTGGCTTTCTGAACAAGTCAGACATTGTGGCTTTATAACAAGTCAGACATTGTGGCTTTATAACAAGTCAGACATTGTGGCTTTATAACAAGTCAGACATTGTGGCTTTATAACAGGTCAGACATTGTGGCTTTATTACAAGTCAGACATTGTAGCTTTATAACAGGTCAGACATGGTGGCTTTATAACAAGTCAGACATTGTGGCTTTATATCAAGTCAGACATTGTGGCTTTATATCAAGTCAGACATTGTGGCTTTATAACAAGTCAGACATTGTGGCTTTATAACATGTCAGACATTGTGGCTTTATAACAAGTCAGACATTGTGGCTTTATAACAAGTCAGACATTGTGGCTTTATTACAAGTCAGACATTGTGGCTTTATAACATGTCAGACATTGTGGCTTTATAACAAGTCAGACATTGTGGCTTTATAACAATTCAGACATAGTCAGACATTGTGGCTTTATAACGAGTCAGACATTGTGGCTTTATAACAAGTCAGACATTTTGGCTTTATGACAAGTCAGACATTTTGGCTTTATGACAAGTCAGACATTGTGGCTTTATAACAAGTCAGACATTCTGGCTTATAACAAGTCAGACATCGTGGCTTTATAACAAGTCAGACACATTTGCTTTATATCAAGTTAGACAGTGGCTTTATATCAAGTCAGACAGGCTTTCTGAACAAGTCAGACATTGTAGCTTTATAACAAGTCAGACATTGTAGCTTTATATCAAGTCAGACATAGTGGCTTTCTGAACAAATCAGACATTGTGGCTTTATAACAAGTCAGACATTGTGGCTTTATAACAAGTCAGACATTTTGGCTTTATGACAAGTCAGACATTTTGGCTTTATGACAAGTCAGACATTGTGTCGTTATAACAAGTCAGACATTGTGGCTTTATAACAAGTCAGACATTGTGGCTTTATAACAAGTCAGACACGTTTGCTTTATATCAAGTTAGACAGTGGCTTTATATCAAGTCAGACAGGCTTTCTGAACAAGTCAGACATTGTAGCTTTATAACAAGTCAGACATTGTAGCTTTATATCAAGTCAGACATAGTGGCTTTCTGAACAAATCAGACATTGTGGCTTTATAACAAGCCAGACATTGCGGCTTTATAACAAGTCAGACATTGTGGCTTTATAACAAATCAGACATTGTAGCTTTATTGCAAGTCAGACATTGTGGCTTTATAACAAGTCAGACATTGTGGCTTTATAACAAGTCAGACATTGTGGCTTTATAACAAGTCAGACACGGTGCAAGCTACAAGAGGGTGGAGGATGTGGGAGTGCTCACCTTTTGTCCAGCGCTGCACCGGCCTCTCATATCTAGAGCAGTGTCCCCCTTGATCATCACCACACGGTAGTGGTAGATGCGGCGGGACTTCAGGGCAGCACCGTCCTCGTCATCAGAACGAATCTCAATTGTTTCAATATCTGAAATGCAGTGTTGAATATGTTCTATTCTTGTTCTCACCACCCTGTTATTTCTACAACAGACATGATATGATGATGGCTCTTTGAACTCTTAGATATTCTTTCTCTTGCAGTATCTTTTCTATAACTTGATGGCAGAGATTACGTCTTTCAGATCACACAACCTAACTGCTGGATCATAGACTCAGAGACTAGTCATTTAGGTACGCTATAAAAGACAAATCCCAAAATAACAATCAAATATATATATTTTCATTAAAAACAATAACTGTCATTATTTCATGTATTTCATTTTTCCACAAAGAGTTGTGATTAAGTTTGGCACCTACCTACTTAACTGTGTCATTTTCCATCCCATCCCCTCCTAATTACTGATCAGCCCCTTTATTTGACCTTTCTTTGTGAATCTGTTCAACAAAATCTAATCAAAATCTTTCTTTATTCATCATACAAGGAGTAGTTAACATGGTGAATCTGCAATGGTTTTCACAAGGTTTGTGTACGTGTTAATCACCACTACCTCTGCTGATATTAAACTACAGTTACATTGCACATTAAACTATTTTTCAAATTTCACTCCAAAATTCCTGATAAATTAACCACCAACATTTTCACTTCTTTACTGGTCTGGTGGTAACTTGTCATGAAGAGTTGCATCCCTTTGTGATGGTCAGGAGCTCTGACCCCTCCCCTTCACCATTTCCATGCCTTTATGGTTTCCCTGCCCTTGTTCTCCATTCCTAATCACTTCAACAGTAGGTGTTCCACCAATCCCAAACCCTTACCTCAACAGGTGTTTCTTCTCCATCCTCTCCTCTACAGGTGTTCCTCCACCATCTCCATCCTCCCCTCTACATGTGTTCCTCTAGCAGCCCCACACCCTTACCTCAACAGGTGTTCCTTCACCACCGCATTCTCCCCTCTACAGGTGTTCCTCCGCCAATCCCAAACCCATACCTCAACAGGTGTTCCTCCATCCTCTCCTCTACAGGTGTTCCTCCACCATCCTCCCCTCTACAGGTGTTCCTCCACCAATCCCAAACCCATACCTCAACAGGTGTTCCTCCATCCTCTCCTCTACAGGTGTTCCTCCACCATCCTCCCCTCTACAGGTGTTCCTCCATCAATCCCAAACCCATACCTCAACAGGTGTTCCTCCATCCTCTCCTCTACAGGTGTTCCTCCACCATCCTCCCCTCTACAGGTGTCCCTCCGCCAATCCCAAACCCATACCTCAACAGGTGTTCCTCCATCCTCTCCTCTACAGGTGTTCCTCCACCATCCTCCCCTCTACAGGTGTCCCTCCGTCAATCCCAAACCCATACCTCAACAGGTGTTCCTCCATCCTCTCCTCTACAGGTGTTCCTCCACCATCCTCACCCCTACAGGTGTTCCTCCACCAACCCCACACCCTTACCTCAACAGGTGTTCCTCCACCATCCTCACCTCTAAAGGTGTTCCTCCACCATCTCAATCCTTCCCTCTACAGGTGTTCCTCCACCAACCCCACACCCTTACCTCAACAGGTGTTCCTCCACCATCCTCACCTCTACAGGTGTTCCTCCACCAACCCCACACCCTGACCTCAACAGGTGTTCCTCCACCATCCTCTCCTCTAAAGGTGTTCCTCCACCATCTCAATCCTCCCCTCTACAGGTGTTCCTCTACCAACCCCATACCCTTAC